GAGCAATTTGCGCACATGGTCTTCGAAAGTTAGTCTCGGTCTACCTCGACACCTATTAATATTAACTTTCGCGCTATATATTCTCTTCACCATTCGGTCTTCACTCATTCGCTCAACGTGCCCAAGCCACCGAAGCACGCCCTTATCAATTTTTGTGATAAGGTCATCTTTGAAACCTGCCATATTGCGAATCTCTTCGTTTCGCTTTCGGTCGGCCATGGTAACGCCTCACATTTTACGAAGAGATCGCATCTCCACTGCATTCAACTTGCTTTTATGCTTCTTCTGGCATACCCAGGTTTCGCTGCCATATAACAAAGTCGGTACCAACACTGCGTTATGTATTGCAAGGCGTGCACTCTACACTACGCCTTGCCTTTTGACTAACACAGTCAGGGCACCATTGACTTTGTTCCCGGCAGCGAGACGCCTGTCCACATCTAAATCACAACTATATAAACTTAATATTATCTACTTTGTAATAAAGAAAAAAAATTTATAGTAAATATATAAACGGATATAATATACTTATATATACAAAATCTCTAAATAAATATAAAATAATATAACACAAAAATAAAATAACATGATGCGTATTAAAATACATATTATACAAAATATCAATTACAAAGCGAAAGAGGGAGAAAAACAAATATCGGATAAATTAGATGGTATTATTCCTATTAAAGAATTCTCGAACTAGTTTTCTAAAATATTGTTTGTTACTGGTTTTTTTGATATGAACAGGCAAGGCATTCCAGAGCAGTATGGACTGCACAGTAAAAGAGGAATTAAAGAAACCACTCTTATGTGGTGGAATACGAATTTTAAGACTATTTTGGGAACGGGGAACTCTATCATGAGTAGAATATTGGTACTGAAAGTTATCCTTAAGATAAGAAGGAGAATTTGGGTCATTTAAAATTGAATATAGTACTTGTAAAATTCGGGAGCTACGCCTTTGACGAATAGAAAGCCATTTAAGGTTAGAACGGTATTGAGAAACATGGTCATACTTACGTAAGCCGAAAATGAACCTAATGCAATTGTTGAGAAGGCGCTCCAACTTATCGAAAAGATATTGAGATAGATCTGGGTAACACACATCCGCATAATCAATAATGGGTAATATCAAAGTCTGGACAAGTAGAAGTTTAGTTTTAAAAGGCAGAAAGTTTTTAAGACGGCAAAGAGAACGTAAGGTGGTAGTAACTTTACGGCTTATTTCAGCAAGGTATGGTCTATATGTAAGCCAAGATTTTTAACAGATTTACAAAATGGCAGCAATGTTCCATTGTAAAATACGGGAGAAAGATCATCGTTATTAATCATGGCTAATATTCTGCTACTACCTATAACTATTACCTTACATTTGGAAGGGTTAACCGAAACACCATGTCTGTACGATCAATCTCTTATGGCATCAAGGTTGTGGTTGATTTTGTTAATATTATGGTTAAGGTCATTAACACTAGATTGCACATAGAGCTGAAGATCATCTGCATACAAATGGTACGAACAGTTGAGTACTGAAGTAATAGAATTTATAAATAGAGAAAACATTATAGGAGAAAGTATTCCGCCTTGCGGCACGCCTGTTTCAATGTCAGCCCATGTTGAAGACTGTTGTCCTAATCGAACTGATTGCTGGCGGCCGCGAATATTAGCTAGGAAGGCTATAAGGATATCGTGGTCGACTGTGTTAAAAGCATTTGAAAAATCAACAAGCACTATTCACTTCAGTCCCTGTCATCTAAGGGAGTCGTTGGAGTTGAGAATTCCAGAACGATAAGCGATTAACAGGTACGATCATTTCTGGTAACTGGCCTATACACGTCGTTGATATCGCGTGCCGTCGTGCAGCGTGGGTGCTTCGACCGAATCCTTGCCTCGAAAACAATGCGAATATTCAATTTTACCAATGTCGTAAGCACAGCGATATCAAATTCAAAAGACAAACGACGGATAACGACGGAAAAATTTCAAGCGGTTTTATTAGCCAATATTCTAAAACAATTTTTGTTGTCTCTGATTAGTGGTTATTGTTTATGATACTTTATAATTATAATTATATTTATAATAAAGAAAAATGTCATCTTTAATTTTTTAATTCATAGAAGTAAGTGACAAACGTGCACACAGTCAATATAATGGTAAGTGGATGCCTGGCCTATCATCGATTAAGAATAAAAATGCAGATGCGTTATCCTTGCATCACTGTGGACTGAGGTAGACTGTCTCGTTGACAGTAAAAAAGGTCTCTGCTTTTAGTTACTTACCATACGAAACAGCAACATTATCCTGCTATTTGACGCTGGTTATTGTCAAGTCGACTCGTCCGTGCTACAACCATAATACGCTGCAGTGGGGCTCTACCACGCATAAACCATGCTGTGACACATTAGCATAGATATTAGAAGGAAATTACAATCCTTTCTTAATAAAGAATCTTTATACGATATTGAAATGTTAAGAGTAGTACAAGTTTGTATATTACGTCGCATTATAAAACATAGTGTCCTTTTATTTCTGAGATAATAATAATAAAGTTCGGTTACAGGATTGATTTTAGTGCACGAGTGTGCGCGCGAGTGTGTACGCAAGTACAGGTGCACTCTCAGTTTCCTCTAGAGAGATATCAGGCGCAGGACCAACGGCTTCGCTTGCCTGCCAAAATACCGCCAACTTCCTGACTTCGGTCTGTCACTGAGGATTTCTTGATAGAAAAATCCTGTTACTAAATTTGCCTCGCTTAGGATTTAAACCCGAACTCACATGATCAGTAATTGCGCTTATGATTGATAGACTAACGATCAACAGTCAGTGAAATAATAGGTGAAGTCAGTGAAAGAACGGAGAAATGTCCTCCTAGCTGCTCCCGTGCGAACGATAGCGTATCCATGAAATATTTGTTTTATTTTACATAAATACAGTTGATTTCTTATATTTACGCGAACACTACACATTGAATAAAACTATTTTCTTACGGATTTTATCGCGTTTCATTTACTATTTCTATTCCCAACGTTTCGGGTGCTTTACAGCAACCCATGGTCAGTCTCCCCCGTGACCATGGGTTGCTGTAAAGCACCCGAAACGTCGGGAATTAAAATAGTAAATTAAACGCGATAAAATCCGTAAAAAATTCTTTTATTCAATAAATACAGTTGTCACGACGTTTTCTTTAGGCCGAGTACGTTGTAAATAAGCACGTCAAATTGCTGGAAGCAATTTATACGTTGCCAGCAATATATTGTTTTAATCCCAGGTTAATTTGTTTGTTACGATAAGGTAGTACGATTTACCACCTAGGATTTTATCACCACTTACCTGTTGGGATTATAGTCAAGTACTGGCTTATAATAAGTTAAAAAATACCTATCCTATGAAATATAACATGGCAGAAAAACGCTTATATTTTATTTGTAGAACGAATAATACGGCCCTACTGGCGAGGGACTGTACTCTCACAAAACTATATTTACTGGTATCGAAACTGATTATTAATAGAAGATAGAGATAGGGTGGCATCTATTGGCTACAGCATCCATTTACTATCAGATGGTTTCCGTACTCGTTTGTTAGCCTTATTCTATAAAAAAATACATATTATAAAGGTGTGAGCCCTGTCCCTGAATTACTATCATCTATTTTTAAGTTCAAACTAATTTTATTATTGTAAAATATTTTCGACAGTAAATCTATGTAAATAGATTACCTAATAGTATTTACATGTAAATAGATCAATAGAGATTAAAAAAAGTAATATTGTACTTTTTTAATTCAGCGTTTTAAATGTAGCATCGCCTTAAGAAGTAAAACTTGATGCTTTTTTGATAAACAAATAAAACATTTGAAAAAATTTTCAGTAAAAATTTGTTAGGTTAGCCTGCACAAACGTCCCATAGCTAAGTCACACACGGATGTCTTCTCTTGTTATTGAGCGAGAGGAATGTAGCGGGAAGAGATCGTCACTCTCTGCTCCATTCCTTATTGGACTTTTAATACATTTATATTTGTCATATTTGCAAACTGCCATATTTTTAATTATTTCATTTGCAATCATAACACGGCAAGAACTTAAATTTGTAATTATAAATTGCAGTGTATGCCTGCACTGAGAATCAAACTCGGGTTGCTCGCGTAGTATTAAAGTGGCAAGTGACGTCCGCCCTTGAACTCCTACATATCTTATGATGTGTCTTTAAAAAGTTATACTTTGTTTATGCATTTTGATGTTAAATAAAATGTTGATTAAAGAAATATATTATTATAATGTCGTCTAGAAATAATATTTATGAGGGAACTTTACTTTCCGCTAGCTGAATATTGTCTATATTGCGCCTAGTAGTTTTGTCAAAAATATGCCAGATCGTTCCACCTGGCCAGGTTCACCAGATCGGTATTACATTATGGAGATAAGGGCGATGTGTTTATGTCAACAACTACTTTGCCAAGGAGACTAATTAGCGACTTGGGCTAGACCATTTCGGTCGCTCTTTCTGGCCGTGAGAATGTTGCTGCCCGGTTTTTAAATATTTTTTAGTTATATTTGTGATATTGTTGTTCTTACATTAACACAACAAGAAATTATTATAATTTGTGTGGTGGTGTAATAGACGATTTGTTCTATTCTAGAAAGTAGGTTACCCTTTTGTCAAGATCAAATGAGCTAAAGAAAATATCTGTGAAAACAACTAATTAGAACGAGTAACATTGATATCCAAATTGAACGCTTAAAAATTAAATATTTTATTAGCATAATATGAAATTTCTTACAAAAATATTGTATGTAATGAGTTTTTTTTAACTAGTTTCTTTCGTTGACGGGATTCACATCGGGCGAACGGCCATGTCTGGCTTGCCCATCTAAAATTATTTTTGTAGCTCAATCGAGGTCTCAGTGTTAATGACAACTCTTGTAAAGCTGTGCGATTACATTCGCACTTTAAAAATAATCAACGCGCGACAGTTGTTCTAATTGGACGTCTTCTACGAACCTTGCACATTCGAGTAACTCCTTGTTTGGCGCAAAGGTAGAGCCCCCACCGAATGCGACGAGCGCCGAAAAGAGTCCTAGGAGCCACCACATGTCTAGCACCAGACTAAGGGTGCGCGGGCCGGCGCCGCTTGTAGCCTCTCGCGCACACTCTCACAACACACATACGCCGCCTGCACATGATCAGCAAACGAGACACATCACTCCGGAGCAGGTAGGCTCGGACTTGGTTCGCGAGCTCCGAGGTTCGAGGTCCGAGGAGCAACGAGCGCGGCGCGATACTGCGCGACTGGCGACGCTATCGCGGCAGCGGCGGGCGCGGTCACGGGCGTAACCTTCGCTTCCGCGCGATCTCACCCTGTGATGCGATGCGGGAAAACTAATTCGCGCTACGCACCCGCTACGCAGGCATAGTCCCGCATGTTTGCATGCCGCAGAGTGCAATGGATGCCACTGCGCCTCTCATTAAAAAGTTTGTCCACAAAATCAATTAGTAAAGTTTGCTGTAATTAAACAAAATGGTGCAGTTATGAATATAAATTTATAATACCTGTATCGAAGCTACGGTTAAATTTAGGAGCGTGATAAGTTTGCGTGACAGTACCTGCCGTGCCCAATAGTTAGACAACATTTGACTTTCGCAAAATTTACTCGCATTGACTACAGACAAAGGTGATTAGACAGACAAAGAATATTTAGATGTATTATTTTTAATTTAGGTGCCGTTAAACTAAAATTTTGGGTTTATGTTAAAAATAATGATGTTGTAAAGTAAAATTATTTTAATCAATTAAATGAACTCTAATTATTTATTTAATTTTAAAACAATAACAAACAAGAAAAAATAATGGAAGCTGATTAATATTGATACTGCGAGCATGAACATTGAGTAGGCCACCAACGCTCAGTAGAAGATGTGCTTGCAGTTTATGGAGAGATTTTGATTGTAGATGGGAATATGAAATCCTTATTATCCTTGTTTTAATTTTTTAAGTTTAAATTACCTTCAATTTAATGCTGACTAGCTGTAACCGCGCGTTTATCCGTGTGAACGCAAGGCACAGAAATTCATATCTTTGGTAATACTTGAGATATTACACTGAAATTTTGATTTTCCAAAGTGGTAGAGCCACGCGGCAGCTTTTGCTGTCGCACGGATGGGCCGGCTCGAACCGGGGTGGTACCACGACCTCACAGAATACCAGCGTGAAGTAGAGGTTTACCTCTGCGTTTCGCTTGGTGAGTGCAGGTGGCCGGAGGCCCTTTTTACTGGAAATGAGGCATTCCATCTTAGTCCTCACGGGTGGCAACGCATCTGCATTTTGATTCGCAAACGAGGATAGATGTAGATGTCTATGGGCCGCAGCAACCACTTACCATCAGGTGGACTGTGTGCTCGTTTGTCACCCTTATCCTAAAAAAAAAAAAAAAACAAAACTTAAACTGGCCTTAGACAGTCTGTATAATTTTTATGATGACAGACAAAATATTGTTTAACGTTATAATCATGTTAATTTAAATAACAAGCAGAAGACGAATACTAGGTTGTACTTTTTATTTCCCTAATAGTACGTCTGGGAAGGTATCACCCTCTTAGGCCCGTAATTTAGATTTGTGGTATATTTAAGTGCTCTATAGGGGCCCATTGGTAAGCGAAAGCACCGTGAGGTAACGCTGAATTTTTGTCGAAAAGTTAAGAATATTTCGAGTAGATTCTAAGTCCATCAATGCCAATTTAGGCGCAAATTTTTCTGCTCTAGGGCACGTATTAATAAACGTTACTCAACGACGAACTCAAGTGCGTAATCATTTGATACGCCCTCATTACGATATCAGCATCTCAAGATCGTTGCTAATTAATAAGCACATAAAAACAGTATCTCAAAACGCTGTACTTAGGAATACTGTTCTGTGACTTGCACTCAAGTACACACACTTGAGACTCAAGTTTCGTTTATTTACCAGTGTGGCACTCAGCTGATATCGTAAACCTAATCCACATCTTGAGATATGTTTATTAATAAGATCATAACCTCAAGATTGTACTCAAGTGCGTGTACTTGAGCTGAGTAACGTTTATTAATACGGGCCTAAGCCTCTTTTCCGGTCTGAAGAGTACCTGGAGAGCCAGTTTATTTACGGGCTTTGAGGCATTCCATCTTAATCCTCAAAGGTGTCAAAGCATCTGTCGCATCTTCTTTGTTTGATGTTGACCACAGGTGTTCAAGGGTTTAATAGTCACTTAGCGTCAGATGGAAGGTTTTAGGTTTTGTTTCAGTTCAATAAAAAAAGAAAATAATGTTGAAAAATACGAAAATGACGCACGCAAAATATTGTTTAAAATTCTTGTATTTTATGGTTGGCTCGAGCGAAGGACCACACTCTAACAAATTACCAGCGTTTAATAGCAGCATAACGTAACGCGACATTAAACACAGAATTCACTAACTATCAGGTGAAATGTGTGCTCGTTTTTCAACCTTACGCTGTACACGGGCCATTGTAAGGCGAACTGGCTGGCGTGGTGTATTAATTCCCGTTGCTGATACTGGAAGCTGGGATTGAATACGCATTTGGCATATTATACGACATGGGCAGTGCTGTAGCATGTTATAAGCTCTTCTTGACATTTCGAATAGTTGGTTCATTTGACACCCACGGGTCGAGATGGGAAGATAGATTTATTTTTTATAAAATTGAAGTGACAAACGAACTTAAGCCGGCTACATACATACGGAATTCCGTTTCGGGATTCCGTTTCGAAATTACGAATAGTTGGCCACACACATACGGAATTCCGTTTAATCCGCAAAATTTCGGTCATAGATTTTATATGGACTTGCTGCGTTCGGAATTTCGAATCGGAATATCGAAACGGAATCCCGAAACGGAATTCCGTGTGTATGTGGCGGGCCTTACAGTAAACTTGATTGTAAGTGCCTACTGTAATCAAAGGACATATTATGTATGTAACCAAATTTAAATAAAGAAGGCTATACATGCCTCTGAGGACTTAGATGGAATACATCACAGGCTATAATTGGACGTAGTTATGCAAAAAGGATCCAACCCGCGATAAGTTAATTTGAAATTATGATATTTGAAGTATCCATACTTCAAATATCATAAACTCAAATTATCGGTATGGTTTCTGTCTGTTTGTAATTTTTCTTCTTATACGTGTTACGTTTATTTAAATTGTTACATCATATAATAGTATAGACCATAAACATTATTCTTCAAGTCAACATTTTTGACACAAACTCGGGTTGGCTCCTGTTTGCATAACCACGTTCAATTATCCTGGCTCTAGCTTCAGACTGGAACACAGCAGTGCACACACTGCTATTTGGCGGCAGAAAAAGGTAAGAGGGTGGTATCTATCCAGACGGACTCCTAGACAGGAGTTCTTTCACCTTATTCTCTCATGACACTACCACAAAGTAAAATTGCGATTAAAAATTGAGTAGTTTCGGTGAGAATCAAGCTCGAGTTTCTCGCAATTCTTGGTAATATTTCGCATACCTACTACGAGTATGACCAACACACGAAGGATCAACAATACCAGATATTTGTTTTCTTTTTAGGTTTACCAATTGTTTTTGAGTTGTTATTAATAATTTATATTGAAGTTGATTGTACAAAATTTTTAATTTTAAATTATTTTTAAGTTAACTTTTATTGTTATAAATGTATAAACAGAAACTATAGGTATAGATCCCCCATAATTACATTAATGGATGGTTTTGATGTAAATGCAGTTAGTGTGTACCTGTGTAACGAGATGTGACGTGACGCAGTGTGTGTAAACTTGCATTTTATTGGATTCACTTTGTCCTCCACAATGTTAAATAACGTATGCATAGATATTAGAGCATATGACACGAAATTTATATTTATATAGAATTTGAAACAGTTTATTAAATTTGAAATTTATTACCACGATATATTTCGATTATAATATGATCTCGACTTTCCGAAGTACCACCGATTACATTCCGTGTAAGCCAACCTAATCATTCGTATTCCCATAACATCCAATAAAACTTTGTTTTGGCTTTCTAATTTCTAGATTAATTTACCGCTATAAATGCATCAGACAAACAGGACTAAAAAACCAAACATGAGAACACAAAAGTTAAAAAATCATTGCATCGTAACTGTTTACGAAACTTATTAAACGATGGCAAATATTCAATATTCCTCTTATGAGACATTTTTAGGAAGAGGTCAATGTTCAGCAATAGAATTTAATAGATAATTAATAGGATTAGGCGTTACTTTGCGGAAACCCATTATATTAAAGTTGGTAAAAATTGCCTTGCGTACATTCGCTCGATAAAATACACGTGCACGTGTCGTATTGTCGTCAGTGGTGTGTCTTTCCTAGTGTAGTGGTGTTGGGATTAGTGGTGACGGGGATAGTGCACGCAATTGAGGGAGGGCGGGAGGTGCTCTTCAAACTAGGTAAGACACATAATTCTATTTTATCGAGCGAATGTACGGAAGGTAATCTTTACCAACTTTAATGGAATTTAATAGGCTGTAACGGGTAACGTGAAGGGGCTAGGCCGCAATGATTGTTACGGGCTTGGTTTTTTTTATAGGAAACAGGGTGGCAAACGAGTACATTGTCCACCTGATGGTAAGTAGATGATATGGTCCATAGACACCTAGGTACATCTATCCTCGATTACGAATCAAAATGCAGATGCGCTGTCACCTGTGAGGACTAAGATGGAATGCCTCGTTTCCAGTAGAGGCAATCTCTAGCAATAATAAGAGTTTGATTAATTTAGAATGCAGCCAACAAATAGGCAATAAGAATTGTTTACACCTGGTGCATCAAAATTTACAAGGCATGATGGGCAAATAATTGGAAGTTGAATTGTTTTTAAATAGTAACAAAATACATATCCTTTGTATTACTGAAAATTGGCTAAAAGATTATAATTTAATGTTTAATTTTTTCAGAAATCACCAGGTGGTCAGTTCATTCAACAGAGAAAAAAGTTTACGCAGTGGCTCCTTAATATTGCCTGATAAATCATTATTATACTGGGTGTTACAAAACTACCCGTAAAGCCGAAAGG